TATTTATTAAATAAAATATTATAAATATAATAGAATAATATATTTATATTATTTATTTAGATATATACTAAAATAATAAATATTATTTTATTATGTTTTTTTTTTTCAATATTTAATAAGATAATAATAAAAAAAAAATATTATATAATTTATTTAAAATATGAATTAAAAATTTTTTATAAAAAATTTAAATACTATATAGAAAAATAAATAGATATAAAAAATAAATATAAAAATAATAATAAAAAATATATTATGAATAATTAATAATATATATGATGATTTTAAATATTAATATTTATTAAAAAAAATATATATATTTTAAATTTATTTATATATATATTTATATTAATGAAAAAATAAAATAATAAGTTAATTATGTATTTTATGTAAAAATTTATTTATATATTTATTTATTTATTTATAAATAAATTTAGTCCATTTTAATTTAAATTAAAAAAGAAACTATAAAATTTCAATAAAAAAAATTATATTTTTTAAAAAAACATAATTAATTTTAATTATAGAAATCACTAGAAATAATCTTGAAATTTTAACAATAACTAAATAACATTAAATATTTAAGAAAAAATATTATTTATAATATAAATAATAACAAATAACTAATTTATAATTTTAAAATATGTTTATTTCTATAATTTAGATTGTTTTTGTTTTCTATAATAATAAAAAAAAATAACAATTTTGCAAAATATAACTGTTATTTAATAAAAAAATAAATTTTCATTTTTATTTTTAATCCATAATTTTAAAAAATATTGAAAAAAAAGATTTTATAATTTTTTTATTATAAGAATTTTTAAGCAAATTGATTTTATTGGAATATTTTCAAATTAAAAAAAAACTAATAAATAAAAATAGAGAACTAAGTTATAAATGTTATAAAACTATTAAAAAGCTTATTTATGTGACTATATTGATAAGTTAAAAATGATAATTATTAAAATATAAACGAATAACAATAGTTTTTATTTAGAAAAAATAAATAAATGAACAATCAAAAAAAAGTTAATAATAAAAAGATTAGTATAAAACTTTTTAATCTTTGATAGTAATCAAGTTTTTTTAATAAGTAATATTTAATCAAATAAATGGATTTTTTAAAAATATTGTTAATTATAAATAAAATATTTATATATAATATTATTATTTTATTTAAAGTATTCAATGAAAAAAGCTTATATAAAAGTATATGTTTTTATTAAATTATAAAAATAAAATATTCAATTTATTTAAAAAATTAAATATTTTTTAAAATAGTATAATTATTTAATAAGTAAATTTAAAGAAATATATACATCACTCTTGCCTTGCGAAAGAAAAATTAATAATAAGATGACTAAAATAAAAATTATAAGATTATTATAATTATAAATTAAATTGAAAAAAGAAGCTATAATTTTATATAAAATTAATGTAAAAATTAAAGAATTAATTTTTAAAATATCATCACATTAATAATAATATTTATTAAATTTAAATTAATTTATTATGAATTAAATTAAATTAAAAATATTAAAATATATATATATATATATATATAATAAATTAATATAAATTATATACATTAAAATAATTTATTTTTTCTATACAAAATATAAATTTTTTGTTTATTATTAATTTTATAAAATATATATTTAATGCGAATTATCTAGAAATTATATTTTAAACTAAACAGAAAATTAAATATTTATTAATGATTAAATTTTTAAATAAAAATAATTAAATTTTAATATAATTATTTATATATAATTAATAATAAATGTTTTTATTAATTTAAATTATATTATTAAATAATCATATATATATATATATCATTTTTATATTTTAAAGCTAAAATTCAAAAAAAAATTAAATCTAAGATCTTTAAATTAAAAATAATTTTTTTAAAAAAAAAATCAAAAATTACATCGCTATTAACAATTTAATCATTTCTTGTAAGCACAAAGTAATAAAATATTTTTTTTACATTATATTTTAAAATATAAAAATATTAAAATAATTGATTATCAAATAAAAATGTCTTTTTTAATTTTCATTATTATTTAATATAATTTTTGTATATCAAACAAATTAAATAAAATAAAACATATGAATATAAACTGAATAGTTTTTAATATATTATTTTTATAAAATATAATCCTTTTAATTTTAATTTATATTGAAATATTTATCGATAAATGAAAAATAAATAATCAGTCTCTTTATTATTATGATTTTCTCTGTAAAATATGATAACTTTAAATTTGAAATCAAGGAAGTTATAATGTTAGAAAAATAATATTTAAATAAATATATCACAATAATAAAGAAATATGTAATATTTAATTTTATCAATATTCAAATATATTAATAATACAAAAAAATTATTGAAAAGTTTACAAAAATAAAAATATTTCACTTTTTTAATTAATAAAAATAAAATATTTTTAATTATAATTTTATTTGCAAAAAGTAATAAAAATCTGAATTAGTATATATATATCTATATTGTATTTTTTTAATTATTTAAAGTTTAAGCTCAAAATATTTAACACAAACAATTTTAATTCTTATGAAGTATAAAAACTGTAATTTATTCATTAGCATTTATAAGTTTTTATTTTGTTAATAATTCTAAACATTTCATATCATCACTTAATTCTTAATTATGAAATATTAAATTAAAAAATTAAGGATCTAAATCAGTATATTTTAATGTTATTAAGGTTTTTAAAGTTAAAATATCTTAATTAGGCTCTACTTCTATTTTAAATTTATTTCTTTATATATTTTAATTTTTGGGATGGAAATCTACTATTATTAACATTTCTTTTTTTTTATTATTAAAAAAATAAAATAAATAAATGTATTAAATTAAAAAAATATTATTTATATGAAATTATTAAAATATAAAGAAAAATTTATATAAAGTTATTAGAGATTATACAATATATATAAAATTAATTAATAATTAAAAAATTGCATAATGTATATTTAATTATATCCATTTATTGATAAATAAATTAATAAATAAATATTAAAATAAATTAATTAAATTTATTATTTTAAATATAAACTTAAAAATGTAATCATTATCCGATATAGATATTTCTCCTCTAAATTCAGATAGAAGATATATCCGAAAAACAGTAACAGTAATTCCTACTTATGTAGATACTAATGCAGTAGTGAATCCAAAATCAAGAAAAGGATGGAGAGAAAGTACAAACTAATTATAAGATTTATTTACTGCCAAAGATGAAGAAATAGAATATTGGAAAAAATAATGTGAATAATAAGTTTATACGGTTACTGAATAATTATAAATTGTTAATGATAATGTTATTTAATATAAAGATGAAATTGAATAATATAAATTAGATAATCTTCAAAAAAATGAAATGGTATAAAAACTTAATTAAAAGTAACTATTTTTTATTTTATTGTTTGATATTTTTTATAAAAAATAGTTTAGATGAAGCGAAAAATACTATAGATTGTAAGAATTAAGAAATCGAGGAACTAAAAAAATGGTTTTTTATTTTTCAATATTTTTTTTTATATTTTTGTGTAAAAAGTATTGATGAAAGTAATTAGAAGATTAATTAATTAAAAGAATAAAATAATTAAATTAATAGCGAATAAAATAAAATTTAAAGTATATTATAAAATTAAATTTAAGAAAATGAAAGCAATATTGTAGAGCTAGAATTAAAGTAATTAATTTTTTATTTTATTTTAAAAAAATATAATGACAAATAAACAAAATAGATTATAAGATATTATTGCTGAAAATGATAAAAATATTGAAGTAATTTCAATTAAAGATAAAGTTCTTCAAAAGCTTAAAAATGAGTTTTTTTTATTTTTTATTTAAATAAATTAATTTTCTAAATATAATTAATTAAAGACTCGAAGAAAATAATTAAAAAAATTAAAAAAACCTAAGTTAATTACAAGAAGAAAAAGAAAAGTATTAAAAAAGATTTTTTTTTTTTTTTTTTTAATTTAAGTTAGTTTGTAGGATGAATATGTAAAATGTAAAAAGAAAATAAAAGAGCTAGAAAAAGATATATTGGAAAAAACAAAATAATATGAAAATTAAAATTAATAATTAAAAATAAAATCAGAAGAATTTAATTATGAAAATGAATAATTAAAATAAATGTAAAATTTTTATTCAAAGAAATATAATTTTTGACATGTATAAAAAGGTATGATAATTTATTAAATGAAAATAATTAAAAAGAATAAAAATTAAATATCATTTAAAATAATATTTAATAAAAGGACGATGAATTAAAAGAAATATAAAAATAGTAACATTTGTTTATTTAAAATAAGTAAAAATAAAAAATAGATTGAACGATAATATTGAATAGAATGAATAAAAGATAAATTATTTGGAAAAGGAAATTTAATAAAAAAATAAATAAAATGTTAGTTTAAATGAATAATTTAAATAATAACAAATTTTAAAAAATAATGAAATTTAATAATTAAAAATAGTGTATATTATTATATTTTTTTGGATAAATTTTTAAAAATAATAAAAGTATAAATGATGAAATATAAAAAAATAAATAAAAAATATAAGATTTAGAAAAATAAATTTTAGAAAATAACAAAAAGTAAGAAAATATTTAATAATAATTAAAAAAAGATATAAATGATTAAAATGAAATCATAGAAAAATTATAAACTAAGTAAAAAAATATTTAAATTTAAATTTAAAATATTATTATAGTTTAGATTTTTTAGAAGATAATAATTAAGATAAAGAAAAATAATTAAATTAATTATAGGACGAAATACAAAATAAAGAAAAATTAATAAATGACTTAAAAAAAAAGTAAATAAATTTTTAAAAATAAAATAATTTTTTTAAAAAATAAATAATTTATATATAAATGTATATATATATTAGTATAGATGAAATTAATATATTAGATTAACAAAAATTAGAAAAAATAAATGATTTAGAATATTTATTATAATAAAAAACAAAATAAATTAAAATTAAAATGAATATAATAAATAATAATTAAATTTAAGAGATTAAATTATTGATAAATTAAAAAAGAGTAAAAAATATAAAAAAAATAAAAAAATAAAGTTTTTAATAAAAAAATAAAGAATAGATAATTAAAACTTATAATAATCAAATAAAATAAATGAAATGTAAAAATTAAATTAAGAATAATTAAATAAAATAGAAATTGAAAAATAATAATTAAAATAAGAAATTCTTTCAAAAGAAGAATTTATTGATTAATAAAAAATTAATTTTCAGATTTTTAATAATAAAAAGCTTTCAAACTAGGCTAATTAGAAGATAAAATTAAGTTTTAAACTTAAGAAAATGAAAAATAAAGAGATTTATTAAATGAAAAAGAAACATTGACTAAAGAATTACAAAGTTTAATTAATGAAAAAGATTACTAAATAAAAAATTTGTAAAAAATAGATGCTTTATGCAAAAATAAAGACGATTAAATAAACTTTTTACTTAAAAATATAGAAAATTAGAAGGATAGATATAAAAAATAAGAAAAAGAAATTGAAGATTTAATGAATTATAAAGATTAATGCATAAAGATGGAAAATAAAATAGAAATAATAAAAGATGAAATAGATATAAATAAAAAAATAATAGAAAATTTATAATAAAATGAAGAATAATAAAGAAAAAAAATAAACTAATTAGAAAATGAAGTATTTCAATAATTTTAATTATAAAATAAAATAAAAGATTTAGAAAAAACAATAAAAAACTAAAATTCATAAATTTAAAATTTAAATGATTTAATTTCATAGAAATAAAATTAAATTTAATGTATTATTTTATTTTTTAATTTAAAATTTAAAAATAAATATATTTAATATATAAATAAAGAATATAAAGATGATATTGTAAAATAAAATATCATTATAAATAATTTAAAAGGATTTGAAGATAAATGTAAATAGTTGGAATAGTAAATATAAGAGTTGAATTTAAATTTAATAGATGAGAAATAAAAAAATGAAGAAACTTAAAAATTAATATCAAATTAATCAGATGAAATAAAAAATTAAGAAGAAACACACAAAATAAAAATAAATTTATTATAAAAATAAATAGAAAATTAAAATAATGTTATAAATGAAAAAATTTAATAATAAGAAAATTTTAATGAACTTTAAAAAAATCTTGAAGATGAAGTTAAAAAAATGTATATATAATAAAAATAATTAAGCGATATAGAAAATAAAAATAGTATTTTAATTTAATATTAAATACAAATATAAATAAAAATAATAATTAATAAAAAAATATAAATATAATTTTAAAAAAAATAAATATATATATATATATTTATATATTTATATATTTATATATTTATATATTTATATATATTAATTTATTTTTAATTTTATATATATAAAAATAAACAAGTAAATTATTAATAAGAAATATTTTAATATAAAAATCTATTGGAATAAAAAGAATAATTTATTGATGAAAATAATAAAAAATACTTAAATACCGAAAAAAAATTAATTCATTTAGAAGGTTCATTATCAGTTTAAAACCTAAAATTAAATGAAGAATTATAAAAAAATAAGTATTTAAAAGATGTTATTGATTAATAAAATAAAGATATAGAATAAAATAAACTAAAAAATAAAAAAAAGACTATATTTAAATATATGAACTTGAACAAAAGCTTGAAAACCTAAATAATTAATATTAATAAATGTCTTTTTTATTATAATAAAGGGAAAATGAGGTAATTTTATACTTTTAAAATAGCAAAAATATCTAAGAATTAAATGATAAAATTAATATTTTAATGTAAGAAATCAATAGATTAAATAAATATATAAAAGAAATTGAAGATTTAAGTAATGATTATAAAAAATCTATAGTAAGTAATAATGATTATATTATAAAAATATAAGATTTACATATGTTAGTATTTATTCTTTTTGCAGAAATTGAAAATTTGAGAAAATAAAATTATTAAAAAATACAATAAATTTAAAATATTAGAGAATTAAAATTACTAGAATATAAATATTAATCTTGACAAAAATATAAATAAAAAAATAGTTTATATAAAATTATGTGCTTACTATTCAAAAAATTATACATTTCTATATAATATTATATTATATTATATTATATTATATTATATTATATTATATTATATTATATTATATTATATTATATTATATTAATCTATTCTTTTAAAATAACTTTTGTACATTTCCATAAACTTATTATTAGCTTAAAAAGTTGAAATTAAATTAGAGAAATTAATATTTTTTTAAAAATTTAATTTTTAATATGTTTTTTTCTTTTATTTTAGATACAATTATGCCTTCAAAAAGTTCTCCTCTTTTATTTTTTTTTGAAAATCCATCAATAATTTCTTGAAGTTCTTCTGAATTTAACGAAACGTTTATTTAGCATACTTTTTCTTCCCCAGAAAGAGTTTAAAGGAATGAAAAATGTTTCAGAAATAAGAATTCACACGGCTTATTTAATTATTTAGGACTTTAATTTGCAAAAAATACACAGTTTTAGAAATCTTTAGAATTCAATGAAATTAAAGTATCAAAATAATTAACTTTTTATTAAGTTTAAAAGGAATTCCTGAAATTTAAAAAACTCGCAATATTATTAGTTTTTATATAATATTCTCCATATAAAATAAAACATTTTTTTTCATCTAAAGCTATTTCAGTTCTAAAAAGCAACTTTTTATCCGGATAATGTATTAACTTTTCAAATAAAACGTTGTTTTCAGTAGCTTATTCTTATTCTAATTTTTAAATAAACTCTTCGTAAGATTCCTGTTAGATTATTTCTAATTAATATATTGCTTCTTGACTTAGATTAAAATTTTCTTTTTTATTTAAAGTTTATAGAAAATTAAATAATTGGGAAGGGTTTTTAATTAAGTCTTTGTTTTCTAAATTTTTTAAATCTAAAAGGGATAGCTCATAGTATTATTGTTCTTGACAATCGAAAAATTGAGTTCGTTTTTTATAATGGTTCATTTAATTGTTTTATGGTATTTCCATTTTTCGAAAATCTTGTTAGTATATTACTTATATTATTTTTTCTTTTTGACTTGTGCGTGTCGAGGCTAATGGAGTTGTTAAACATGAATAAAAAGGTGATTCATAATTATTTTAATATATATATTGTTTATTATTAGGAGATTATTTAAATTGAGAATCTGTTTTTATTTGTATATATTGCTATTGGGGAAAAATAATTATTTCGGTTGTCTGTAATAAATGAGGCTCTTCATTTTTTTTTATAGAGGATGGATTTTTAAAAGAAAGTTTTCTTCTCTTTCCTCATTTAATTATTAATCGAGGTCTTCTTTTGTTTCTTAGTTTTTTTTTATTCTTAATTTTTTTTAACTTCTAAGATTATTTTCTCATATTAGTTTTTTTACTCCTCTTAATATATATTTTTTTTCATAATTTTTATTTTGTTCTAATTTTAATTTTTATTCATCATATACTTTGTTTATTTATAATTCTTTATTTATTTCTTATTCTTTAAGATTTTCAAATTATATTTATTCTTATATGCACTATATTTTAGAAATAAAAAATTCTTAAGTAATTTCAAAAAGATTTTCATCTGAATTTTATTTAGAAACATGTATAATATTCGTTTATAAAAGAGCATTTTAATTTTTGTTTGTAATTTTAATTAAACTATTATTATTACTTTTAATACTATTTCGACTTTTTGATGGATTTAAACTTAATCTTCCAAAATTTAAAGTTTATAAAAGCGATTTTCTTAATTCTTAAATAGCTTGGCTTTATATTCTTTAATCAGTTTTTTATTATTATTATATGTGAATTTAATTTTTTATAGAATTTATACTAATATTACATTTTTAAAAATTGTCTGCTTTTAAAATATATTATGATTAATATGTTTAAATTTTATTTATTAATTAATTATATTCTATTTATGAATTTAAATAAACTTCATGTTAATTTAAATGATACTAATATTTATTGGACTAAATTATTATATAAAAATTATTTCAGTATTTTATTTATTTATTAAAGATTCTTTATAATCTTTTTCTTTTTAAGAAAAATATTCGGATAAAATAAATCTTTACAATATGTAATACATTATAAAATATTTTTCATGTTTTATTATATATATTCTTATGAAATAAGAAATATATGATTAAAAAATTAAAAAAAAATAATTGTTATGTAGATATATATAAATATATAAATATATAAATATATATGTTTATATATATTTATTTATATATACTATTTATATTTATAAAAAAGATATATTTTTAATTAATATAAATAATTATTTAAAATAAAATCAAATATAAATTTATATCAAATATTTATTGTTTTCCTTATTAAAAAACAAACAAAACATTTTTTTTCATTATTCTGGAGTAATTACATCATCAATTTTTAATATCATTTTAACAACTTAAGTTGCTAATTCAAATTATTATTTCTTACTTAAAAATGTTTCATATACTTTTTAACTTTTCATATCATAAGTTCCCTAATTTATATTTATTTTTTATATAAATAAATATAATTTTATTAACTTCTAACTAGCAATCTATACCTATTCTAGCATTATTTTATGAAATTTAATCTGATTTTGCTGTAGCAACTGATTAAATAGGATTAAGACCTGAATTATCAGACAACGCATAAGGAATTTATTCTAAAGCCTCTGCGAAAGCTCTAACAGCATATTATTCTACAGTTGATATTTTATCAGCTTCTTCATTTACTTTAATACTGCAAGCTAATTCACAAGAACCTCCTCCATAGACAATTTTTGGACATTTAATTAAATTTCTTACAACACAATTGGCATCATGAATACTTCTTTTAGCTTCAGCAACAATCATATTACTTCCACCTCTAATAAGTATTGTGACTATTTTATTTAAAAAATTAAATATATAAATATAAGTATATGTATATATATATATGAGTGTTCAATGTATTTATAAATACCAGCTTTAGATTCTCTACAATCTTCAATAACAAGCATTCTTTCGTTAGAAGTACCAAATTAGATTTCTCTAACCATTTTAGCTTCTCCTAATTTAACATTTTCTAATTCTTCAAATCTAGGAACAATTCTACCTCCAGTAGCAACTGCAATAAGTTCAATATCAGTTCCACTTACCCATCTAACAGCCGGTAAATTATTTTAAAGTAAAAGATGGTTAGCTTCATCATCAAATCCCCATTAACACATAACTATATTAGCCCCGCATTTCTTACAATCATTAACCATTTATTTAAAATAATCTTATTCTTATAAATAGAGTTTCTTATAGTCTTCAGCATTTGTAATATTTATATTATGTTTTGTTTTAGGTTTAGGAGGTTCAAAAGGACATGTCAATATTGCTATTTTAGCATTTTCAACTGTCTTAGGCATTTAAGGATGAGACATATCTTTTTCAATTAAAATTCCGTTTACTAATCTTGTATCTTCTAAAGATCTATGCATTTGTTTATATATATGTATTTTTATTATTATTTATTTACCCTCCTGCTTTTTCTTATAATTTAATAAGATCAAAATTAACATCTCTTCTTTCTAAATCAGCTACTGAAAGAACGGCATCAACTGAAATTTGAGCCATTTTTCTTTTGTTTTTTGATACTACTTTTGAACTAAGAGCAGTCATCGCGGCTTCAATTAATCTTTTTTTTATTATTATATTTTTAAAAAATAAATAAACATACCTTTCGTGATTATCTTCTTTTATATCAATCATTTCGGATATTTCTTCTAATCTAAGAACTGCTAATTCACATGCTTTGTCAAAACCATCAGCTATTTTCAAAGGATGAAGACCTTTATCGATTAAAATATTAGCTTATTCTAGTAAAGCTCCTGCTAATACAACTACACCAGTTGTACCATCACCTATTTCATTGTCTTAAGATTGACTTAATTCAACTAATAATTTGGCAATAGGGTGTTCGATTTCCATCTTTTCTAATATTGTGGCACCGTCGTTTGTTACACTTACTTCGCCATCGGGAGATATTAACATCTTGTCCATACCTTTTGGTCCTAAGGATGAACGTAGGGTATTTGCGACTGTTTTGGCAGCAAGAATATTAGACTATTTTTAAAAAATAGTTATATATTATTAAATTTTATTTTACTTTGTAAGCATCTATTCCTTTCAAACGTTTTTTTTAATCTTATTCTCTAATAATTATAAAGGGACGCCCGTATTCGTCAAAAGCTAAAGACATTTCTTTTTTTTAATATATTTTTTTATGATTTGTTTTTTATTTATATTAATTTAAAAATTTTTTAGAAAATAAAGATTTTTTTTTTTATTTTTTATTTTTTTTAAATATATTTAAAAAAATTTAATTTTATAAATAATTTATTTATTTATTATTATATTAATATTATTTTTATATATATATTATAATTTAATATATATATTAAATTAATATATAATTTATTTATATATAATCATTTAACCAAATAAAAAATCAAATATTTAAATTAGTATTAAATATTTATTTAATAATAGAATAATTTTTTTATTTTAATCAAAAAGTAATAAAATATAAATTAAATTATCTGTTAATTTAAAATTCTATTAGTTGTAATTTTCAGACAAAAATACTAAAGATTATTATATTAATTTTATTTTAATTGTATTTATTTTTTATATTATTTAAATTAGATTTAAAAATAAATAATTTTATATAAGGTTATTTTATTATTTTTTAATTTTGAATAAGTTCGATTTTTTGAATTATAATTATTAAAATTGCATCTAAAATGATATTTATTTTTTAGTATAATTATAATTGATAAAAAATATTAAGATTATTGTTTAAAAAATAATTTATCTGTTAATATTATAAGTTTATTTTAAGAATTTTATTAATATTTTTGAAATTATTATATATCTATTTAATATCAAAATATTTTTAATACTATATTTTATTTAAATAGAATCATATATTTAATTGATTACAAAATGAGGTATAATAATCTTAAATTTAAGTCTTTTATATCATCTATTAATTTTTATAATATGAAGCTAAAATTATTTTTATTTTATTTTTTTTGTATTTATTTAATTTTGCGATTAAGTTTTTGAATTAAGAAAACTATTAATAATATAAATTATTTGATATTATTAAAAATAAAAAAAAATTAAAGTGTTAATTTAGATTTAAAATGTATATATAAATCATAAGTAGAAATTTAATATATTAAATTTGATAATAATTTAATTTAAATATATAATATATTTATTATTAATTTTATTATATATTATTTAATTTATACAAATGTATTTTCTAAAAACATTTTTGGCAATTAATTATAAAATGTATGAAGAATAAATAGATTAAATATTTTATAATATGATTTTATACTAATACTATTTGTAAACATTTAATGTGTGAAAACATGTAAATATTATTCCCATTATATTAAAGATAATAATTTATATATTAAATTATATATTTTAATTTAAAATATATATTATATTATATAAAATCTATAAATAATAAATAAGGAATTTAAAATTTTAATAAAAAAAGATTAATAATTAATTAGAAAAATTAAAATAAAAAGTTATTTATTGTTTAATAATAAAATTTAAAAAAAATATAATTGTAGTTTTGATTAAAAAGTTGAAAAATAAAAATCTAAATAAAAATTTAATTATTTAAAATATAAATAATTTACTAAAAAGATTAATAATATTATTATAAAAAAAAAAAAATAATGAAAAAATGAAATATTAATAAAAATTAAAAAATAAATATTTCTTTTTAAAAAAATATTTATATAATTATTACTTTACATATTTTATATTTTTTTTAAAAAAAATAAAATTAAAGACCAAAATAAATCAAATTAAAGAAAAAAATATATATATTATATAAATATTTTTATAAATAAATAAAAAAAAAAAAATATAAAAAATACAAAAAAAAATTTTATATAATAAAATAAAAAAATATAATGAAAAAATAAAATAAAAAAAAAATTAAATATAAAATATATATAAATTTATATTAATTTTTAAAAAATAAAAATATTCATATTAATTTTTTTTTTTTAAGTAAAATATATGAATATAATTATAATAAAAACTATAAATTTATATATCATATGATTAAATTATATATTTAATTTATTTATTTATTTATTTATTTATTTATATTTATATTTATATTTATTTTTTTTATATATATATATATCTATTATTTTACTTATAAAATAAATATTTATTTTCATTTTATATTTTTTGCGTTAATGATATATATATATTTTAAATAAAAATATTTTTGTTTTTAAATTTTATTTATTTTAATATTTTTTT